GATAAAAACAGTTATGTTCAGAAAAATTGGAGAGAAAAACAATTTCATAATGGTATTATGCTCATTAAATTTAGACTAGTCCTCAAATATATTAAAACAGAACAAAACCCTTCTACTTCAGTTTTTTTTTTTTCGGCTCTTTCACTTGGACATCTTAAAAGTATCTATAATTAACTTTTTATCATAAAAGTCTTTGGAGGATAACACCATTTTAATTTAAAAAAAAAAAAGGGAAGCAGAAACATAAGGAAACTAGATCATAAGATTCCCTATCCTTCAGCTGAGGCCAAATAGCTAAGTAGTGGCTAAGAGCTTAGGGTTGTGGTGCCAGACTCTAATTCTACCACTAAATTTTCTTGTTAGTAACATGAAGGAAACAATAGTACTTATCTCATATGAGAAAATACATAAAGTGCTTGACACTTAGGAAGTGTTCAATAAATAGTAGCCATTATCATCACAACTTGAAGATTATTATTGATATAGTTTATAGGAATAAACTTTTTATTACGTGAATTGCCTACTGGGACCTGCACACCATAGAGAAAATATTCAGACTAACAATCTGCTTGGGGATTCTATCTCTGGAGGAGAAAGAGACCACATTTGGGGACGTAAGTCAGAGTTCTAAACTTTCTTGGACCCCCTCTCATACAACGTTTTGTCCACAAATTTAAACTTCCTGTATGATTACTAGGTTTTCTGAAGAGTCATTGCTCATTTTTTAATTCTTTGTTTTCCTCATTAAATAATATCTTAATAAATTACATTTTAAAATTTCAAAAGTACATTCACATAAATTTTCTCATCGGATACTCAAAACCTTGGGAGATAGATACCACAGTAAGATTACGCACAACATATAGATGAGGAATTGACTCTGGAGGTTGAGAGACTCGCCCAAGATGACCCAGCTAGGAAGTGATGGTATTGAGATCTCAATTCAGATCCTGGAATTCTAAATTCCACTCTCCTTTCACTACACTATGCCATCTTACCATAAGTGCACATTCACAACTGGACAAGGTTGGTATAATTTTCACTGTCTGCTACTTTAGGACAGACACTTTATTGCTTGTATCTTCAAGGCTAATCTACTGAAATGTCAGGCCAAATGCTTGGGGTTCAAGTTTCTTTACTAGTCCAAGAGTACAGACAAAGATTCAAAAAGAATGGAGGAACAAGTGTGTGTCAACAGAAAACGGACACACACTTCCTTCTTTCTATTGATTGTGACCTCTAACTTCGCTCTTCCCACACTTTAATAAATAAAAGGACATTCCTTATTAAGTATAACATATTGCCTTGACAATTGTAATCCCTTTATTGATAATATAAACCCAGACAAATAGTCTATCTATAACAAGAACATGTACCTAATAAGGAACGTGATGATCACACTCCATAATCAACAGTTTGGGTTACAACAAACTTAATAAAATAGACTGTAAATAGAAAAATGTCTCTACCAACACAAGGCAAACATTTAACAACTTGATTTACTCCGTGGGAATCTTTACCTCCCTCCTCTGCTTGCTTTTTCTTTCAACAAATATTTTTGCAAATGTACTACATACTTGATACCGAGCTTACTACTGTGAGGTAGGACATATCTCTGCTTTCTAAGCTCTCCTGGTCTAATAAAGGTGATTATAATTGATATTTACAATACTGCATAATAAACATTATGATAGAGGTATGCACAGTATGCCAGGCAGACACAGAGGAGAGGTGCTCACTTTTTTTCTGGTTACGATAGTTTTCTGAAAAATGTTTTCCCACACCTTCCTGAAAAATAGATTTTGAATCCAATCTCCAGCACCGTATCAACACTAAAAAATTTTTTTTCTTCAAAGCTGACCAAGCAGTCAGTGACTATCTTTTACAGTGTAAAATTTACACCATCAGGTTGGACCAAGAACATATTTAATCATTAATAAAAAAACAAAAACAAACATAGATGCCAGCTCTTGTAGACTTGGTCATCAGTTTGAGTTAATTTATGACCATTGATGGTTTAACTCAGATTAATTATTGAAGAAGTTACAAAGTTCTCCCCAGTCTGATGGGCTGTAACAACTGAAATAAACAAATCAGTCCCTTGATTCCGCTTATTTTCAGGCATTCTCCCAGAGGGATCTGTTCTGTTGACATGGCTCTTAATTATAATAACACATTTCTTTGCAATCCACCTACATTATTTCATTACAAAATGAATGCACTGGCTTTAAGAAAAGCTAGTCTTGCCCTAGGTTTGGGCATATTTATGTTCCTAAGACTAATTATCAGCAAAAACATATAGGGACAGAGTTTGGGCTTTTATATTCCACTGCTTCGCTCAGAAGCAGCCCTCTGGAGCTGTCTAATCCAAGAGGTCTTGATGGAAGCTAGACTCCCCTGGGCTTTCTTTGTTCATTGTCTCTCACCTTCACTGAAGTGCTGATGTTTGACAAGGTCCTCTGTTTGGGTATGCATTTGGAGGTAGCTCAAGGATAGGGAAAGTGGTTTGGAAAATCAGATAGTCCAGGTCTGAAGCCTAGACAGGTGTGTGTTGACTGTCCCACTCTGAGCCTGTTTCCTTGCTATAAAATGGTGGAAGATGACATTGTCCTTGTGGAGTGTTAGAGGACTGCAATTAGATAATGTTTGTAGGGGCCGGCCCTGTGGCTTGGTGGTTAAGTGCGCGCGCTGCGATGCTGGTGGCCCGGGTTCGGATCCCGGGTGCGCATCGAGGCACCACTTCCCCGTTCATCCTGAGGCCGAGTCCCGCATACAGCAACTAGA